GTTTAATTGATGCATTTGCAGCAGCAAAAGCATGAAAGGTTCATATAATGTAACCATGAATACCAGAATTGTTTTTGGTGGTTACGAGGCTGGTAAAATTGACCAACCTCCTATACAGTTAGGGTAGAGAACGTAACAGATAAAATATAAAGTTTTACTGAGAAAAAACATTTTAAATTTATTTAGGAGGTCTTAGAGATTATGCAAATGAAATTTCAGATTTTTCAGACAAAGAAAAGTATTGTTAATCTTAACATAAAAATAACTTTGCATTCGGAGCAGTCAATGCTTTGACTCCATATATTCATGGACAATATTCAGTAAAAATTATGATTTTTCGTTTACAAGAGACTCTTCATGATTACTGAAAGCTTGCAAAATTTCATGAAGATACATAAAAAACATATTAAAAGTTATAGTATGTATAGTTTGGGGTCAATTTTTAGGTTGAATTGACTGAGCCCATAACAAGAGAGTTAACTAAATTTGGTGCTAATTTGGATCCCATGTAGCTGTTCTAAGTTTTTCCATTGAAGGTAAAATGAGACTGGTTGAAAATTTGAACAAATTTTTAAAAACTAGTTTAAGTATTCCATTGACAGTTTTTCCTCTCTACAGAGTAAGCTTGTACATATTTCTATGGTTTCATCAAGTGGTATGTTGGTGAATAAAGATTCAACATCAAATCTAGTACAAGATACGTTTTTATCAAGCTGGATTCATTTAAATTCATTAGCAAACTGGATGATGTCTGTCAACATATACTCATCACTAATAAACTCCCAGGTTAAATATCTTGCATCATCCCTACTATCTTATTTGCATTGTTTTTAAAGGATTGATATTAGCCATAGGAAGGTTGTATTTATAATCACATTCTAAATACAATGAGGTTCCACTGTAATATATATATATTGTTTCTCTATTATTGGCTGGTAATTCCTGTTTCACACTGTACTTAACCTTTTTAAAGGAATACAAAATTTCTGTAAGAAAGCTAACTTCAAGGGGTAATGATAACATCGTTTACACTAGAGTTATGAATTTTTCTTTTTTTAATTACTACTAGTTAATAATACTTATAAAAGCAGATAGTGTTTGAAACTATGTCACCTCGGTGAATTTGGTTGACACCATTGTTTTGGTTTTTGAGTTATCCTGTAATACTAAAGAAGAAGAACAAGAAATTCAAATGTTTTGCTATGTTTTTTCACAGAGATTTCCAGAACTTGTGACTCAGTCATTACATAGATATCGTTATAAATGGAAACACTGTAGAGTATTGTAAAGTTCTGGTGACCTATTGAGGAGATATTTAAAATATCATTTCGATGAACAATCCAAACCATCCCTGCATAGGCAGTGCTACCACCTGCCTGATATACCTTGATGTGAATCTGTATACAGTTTCATTAATGATCCCCTGTATTTTTCAACTTTTAATATGTATCTCAAAGTTTACCTCTCATTTTTAGTTGTTCATGAATGCCAAAAACATTTATTTAAATATTTCATACCTTTCCACCAGATTTAGGCAAGAAACACCATCCTGTCCCCCAACTGCATATAAATGACCATCTAAAACAGCAACGCCAACACTAGTGCGACAAGAACTTGTTGGGGCAACATCACTGCTCCACTGGTTTGTTTGGGGATCATACCTAGTCAAATAAGCATTACATTATAAAAGCATTAATATATATATATATTTATACAGATAGTAATAAACAACCATCTCAGATCTTAAAGAATATAAAATTACCATAAAGAATATTATGTCTTTAAATACAACACACATTATAGAACAACTGTTATATATATTAACAGGCATAATTTGTTTAAATGAAAAAATTAAAACAAAAACAACATAGGTTGACACTCTTCAAGTAGAATTTTTTTTCTTATCAAGTATATGTACTTCTTTTCATATCATATGAGAAAAATACCAGTTTTTCTTCAAAATATTGTTGTTTACTCAACAAGAGAAAATTTTAATATACATAATCAAACTATATAAAATGTTCGATTACATAAAAAAGAATACTTTAGGTATTAATTTAGTACTGTTAATGCATTCTATGAAATGGTATTGATTTTCATACTTAAAATTGCTAATTGTTATGTCTGTTTTGTGTTTCAAAGGATTCTTTTCCAGCAGCATTCCCCAACCCTTTGTACACTGCAAGCCACATTCAAAACTGCAAGATGAGACATCTCACTGCAAGTCACGATGCTAAATTCTAGCTGTTGTTTTAAATGAATTATCATTTTATTCATGTATCCATTAACACTTCACTGCTTGAAGCAGCTTCTTGAGCAGCATGTTACACCCGTGCTATGCATTAGTGACCCATCTTACAGACTACTATTTTCCTGATTGTAGTAAATAACATATTTTCAGGTTAACAGTACTTTGCATATGTTCTCACACTCATTGTTTTATATATGAATATATAATTTTTTTTGTATATGATAAAGATAACACTCACAGAGACTAATTGCAGTACGACTGTTTCTGAAATTATCTTTGTTACAAGTTCAATGATGTTTTCTTGCCTTTTTCATGTACAAGTAAAATTATTGCTCTTATAAGCTACCCATTACACTGACAAATTGCATGTAAAACTATAGAAGTTTTTATTTTTAATAACCTCTGTATTTTAAAGAAAGAAATGCACCATGTGATGAAATAAAATAAATGTTAATTATTATAAAAACAAATGAAAAGATTTTTTCCAATCATTCTTTCATATTTGGTTACAAATCATTAATTTTCAATGTTTTATTCAAGGGGAAGTCTTAATGATTGCTTTTCTTCAAATATATTAGGTCATCAAAAAATTAATGTTGCTTTTTCTTAGACGAAAAAAACGTGAACAACTTATTAAATGAAATAGTCTCCATTCTTATCGATGATGCTTTTCCATCTTACAATC